CAGGGACGGTTTCCAAGAATCTGCAGGGCTGTGGCTCCACTTTGAAGGCATTCTAAAACGGAAAGTGGGATGAGGTTATTTGGGTGCTATATAACAGTCCCTTTTTATCACGGGCAATTGGGCTGTTTTTCTTAAGGTTACAACCTGGCTGTCTAAGCTAAATATCACCAATAAAGCTCAGCCTTTGTGTCCTTTCTCTGGTGCAAGCAGACGCATCCGGCATTTCGAGGCAACTGGCAGACTGCAATGATCATAACCGAGGCCTTGTCTGTCCTTTACTCCTCTGCTGGACACACAGCAGCCTTAATCCTTTCATTTCCCAGCCTGCAGCTTTAGTTCCTGCTGTTAGGATCACACACACACACACACACACACACTCTGCGCTGAGATAGTCTTAAATTACAGACATGGCTAAAGCTTTCCTAAAATAAATGTAAGCAGATAATACTTTAATGGATACAGCTTCACAGCCTAATAAAACAAAAAACAGCAAAAGGGAAAAAAATCTTTTGTGCGTAAAACTATTCCTTTTACGCACAACAATGAAACATATTAGAACACCTTCTTTAATTATCATTTCCTGTCTGATTATTACAAAATGCAATCAGTGATTAGGAGTGATTCACTTTTCATGATGCGACGAGTTTTACTGAGGTAATCAAGGCAGTTTCGTGTTGTGGGAGAAATAATAAAGCCCAACAACATGAGACTACCTAAACCACTCACCAGCCCGCTCTTCTCTTCAGGACTTTTTTGTTTTTAAGTGTATTCAGGGAGTGAAAAGTACCCTTTGTGGTTAATACGCTCCAACAAATCCCCTTTTGATAATTTTTAAAAGTCTGTAAAGGCGAAGACACATGATCCAAATGGAAACGTCACTCTAATATTAGGCGCAACAATTCTCAAACTGTCTTCCAGTCTTTTAGTCCTAATAGTCCGGATGCATCATTATATAGACATTTACATTTTTACTATTTTAAAAGTTAATTTGTGGATTTTTTTTTTTTTTTGCAGCAAAGAGCTATTGTGTTCACAATTTTAAATAGTTCAGAAATCATAAATAAACAAATCACTGCGCCTCCACTCGTTCTGTGTTACATTTAAGTCTGGTGTCAAGGACAAAACGCAGCGACGTGTGCAAAACAACCAGACATCTATTAGAGGCCTAAACTATGAAGAGCATCGCCCACTACTATTGCAATAATATTTACTGTGCAATAATATTTACTGTGCACAAAGCGCTCCCAACACAAAGGCATTTGCAGAATTTAAACAGCACGCAGCTCCTCGTCCGTCTCTGTGAATGAAAAATAAGAAGTCTGCAGTTGCAGGAACGGTTTTATTAATTTGACCAGCAAAATGTGCAAATATTCATCAAACCTCTTGGGTTTCTTTAGCTGTCACATAAAGGCCTACATGGAACTGTAACACAAGTATCCCAAGGGTTAGTCCAGCATGCAAATTCCAATGGTTCACTCAGGTTGAATATACAATATGTACAAGCCTGAAGCTCTGAAACATGGCGGTCACATTCTGAACATTGTTAAATGGATCAAACGTTACAAATGTAACCATTTATAAATACAAATCCACGACAAAATAAACCAGACGTGAAAACTTTTTTTTTTTTTCCTTTTTTTTTTCTTGAAAGAACAACAATCAATAAGTTAGCAGTAGGGTCCTGTTTTCCATGGACATTCTCACAGTTGGGTGGGGGCTCTGCACAGGCGTCCTTGCCATGGATGGAGGAGGGCGCCAGAGACGCAGACAGTCTCATGAGAAACTGAAGTTGCTGGAGAGCTCTCGGATCCTATTCTCCCGGCTCATTTTTTTCAGTTTCATCCTCCTGTTTTGGAACCAGATTTTGACTTGCCTGTCAGTGAGGTGCACACTGCGGCTGATCTCCAGACGACGCTCTCTAGTCAAGTACATGTTGAAGAGAAACTCCTTCTCCAGCTCCAGAGTCTGGTGCTTGGTGTAGGGGCAGCGCTTCTTTCGACCACTCTTAGCTGTGAGCCAATTAGCCGTACTTTCCATTTTTCCATCTCCTACAATGAAAATGAGCCAAGGTGTTAGGCAACAGGTGTGAGAAACACCCACAAATCAAGCTTCCCATGTTTGCTAAAAAAATAAATAAATACACTGACGGCATTAAAAATCCATAATAAACAAAACCTGGCTTGATGCAATTATGAAAATATCACCTGAAATCCATTTATTATAAAACTATACGATATGTTTGATGTCGACTATCAATGCAAATGTTTAAACTGACACCTGCTACATAACTGTAAAGTAAGTAGGCCCATAAAATGTCTGATATTTGTGTTCTGTTTGATCCTTGCTGCTATTTTACGCACATTTTACGCATTTTACGCGAACTCGTACCTGAGTGACTGAACCACATATTGTTGTATTTTACCAGATATTTGCACAGTTGAGCAGCGTTAACCTCAATAATCTGTAGCCAACTGCATCTTTATGAAGGCATAAAACACAGCCAGCTGAAAATATCACAAGGCCTGCAGTGAGAAATGAAATCAGAACCGTTCACAGGACAAACGGACTAAACTGGAGTGTTGTTACTTTGGACGAAAAAAAAATACTGTGATATTTAAAAATAAAAGAATACTTGATGTACTTCTTAAATTGTTAAAGCTTCATATTGTTGCCAGTTTAAAATAAATCCAGAAGATCTGATTAAATAGGACTGTAAGTGAAGCTACAGCAGGCTATTTCCATTTTTTAAAAACAGCTAATCCAACACAATAGGTGCAATCGTCTAATTCTGCCCAATAACCCGGTAAATACTCGATAAACGCAGACCTGTGAGTGTCTAACTGTTGACCTAAAGCATTTCTTTGTGAACAGAAATCAGTGGTTATACAACAATGGACGCCTAAAAAAATAACTGTGCATGTCTCTTACGCTGCTGATTTTCTATTATAATTCAACAATGATTGTCAGCTCGTCACCTTTTCCGGGCTTCTCTGGACACTCCGCACTGCATGTCTCGGCGGGTTCAGGGGAGGATGAGCTCTCCGAGGACAGGCGGCTGTCCTCGTCTCTGGCCGGGGCGCAGGGCGCAGGGACAGGCGCCTCCTCGTGGCTCTCCCTGTGCTCCGGCTCCGCAGAGGCAGCCGGCGGCTGGGAGGGTTGGCTATCCAAGCGGACAGGTCGCTGCAGAGTAAAGTGATTCATGTTTGGCTGCACATCGTGATAAAGCCTGGAGGACGCGTATGTCTGAGACAGGCGAAAGTAGCCGGGGACCGGCACGGTGCTGCCGGTAACGGGGCATGATGCAGTCGAGTAGGATATGTCATCTACTGTCGCTCCTTTAGGACATTTGTCTGACTCATAAAGGCAATATGCGCTCTCCTCTTTTATACTCGGTGAGAATGAACACTGAGCCATATGCTGGCCGCTGGGCTGATCCACCCGGCAGGATCTCGACGTTTCCAGCCACGTTTCCATCCCTTGAACATACGGAGCAGACGAGGGGATCACGCTCTGGGTCGATGGCTCGTTGCGCTTACCGATCCCGGGGAAACAAGAGCCACCGGAGAGTCCATATGAATATTCCGACGCCGGTGGCAAATAGACGCTGTTACTCTGGTAATATGAACCACTGTCGGTTCTCACGTTGATTAAGGAGTCCACGAAAAAGGAATTTCCAGCTTGGTTGTTGGGGCATGACATCGTCGTGGTAGAATTTGACGGAGGATGAAGATAGCCCTTTCTGGCTGACATTTCTTGTGCAAAACATTGCTGAATAATTACTGATACTCACGCTTCTCACTGTAGCCTGCAGCCAATTAAAACACCAGGCGACTACTGACTCCTCCCAGTCCGACCAGGCAACTCCACTGTGTCATATATTTTGTTTTAGGCTAAGTAAAGAGAAAACTGTGGGGGAATGTGGTGCATCAAAGGGGTTTAAGTAAAATCTCCTCAAAATCTTCCTCGATCACCACCTATAAGCCCTGAGCTGCCTATGTAAATTCAACCACAACAACCCCTATTTGACAACTCAGTTGCTGAAAGCTGTCCCTAACAATTATGTACAATGCATAGCTTTATGGCCACTTTTACAGCACTGTAAAAATGAAGGGTTCTAGAGGTGCCTGTGAGAAGCTCAGGGTGCATCAAAGATCCAAAATGTCCTGTGTGACTCTTTGCTCGAGCTCTCTTAACCTTTTCTGCTGCTGCTCTCGTGATTATTATTGGACTATACTTTTAAAATTCCTCCTGGACTGTGCAGTAGCGGTGCAGACAGTGTTTCGTGTTGCTGCTCATGCCAATGCAAAGTCACTTGTTTCAGAGCTGGTGTAATTTGTGGTGTGAATATTGTGGATGATTGCGTCCAGACAACTTTTATTACAAAGGCTCTGTTGAGCGTTTTATTTAGAAGGAAAAAAAGGTGACGCGCAGGCAGAGTGAAGACACAGCTAAACAATGCAGTGGAGCTGCTTCATGGTCGCCTAATACTGGAGACACTGCATGCGAGTTGGTTCATTAATGAATAGATTACATTAGAACTTGGTAATCTTGCTGTTATACCCTTAAGGAAGCACTTGAAATTGGTGTTTTACGCACTGGAAAAAGACGCACTGATTCTATGGCCTATAGCCTTTTGTTGTTAATTGTATTTAAGTTTAATCCCAAGTCACCGCCTTCTATAAACTCTATCCACTATGAAAATGCTCTGTGGGCCTTTTAAGTAGTTTTAATTTTGCTATTTTTAAAGATATATACTAAAAAATCACTGCCGTTTTTCTCGTAATCGTCTCGACTTTTTGGACGCCTGCGTATTGTAGTTGTCAAAAAACACCAACAAATATAATAAAATAAAAATAATAAATGCATCAGATGTGCGAAACGTGCTGCTTTTAGGGCTTATGAGGTCATTTTTATCTTCATTGCAAATAAACAAGATCCATAATCCAACATGAGTCATTTTCTAACCAAAGTGCGCCATGCAAGTAAATAAGAAGAAGATATTATCTGTGTGTCATCACATAAACACAAAACGTAAGCCTGGACTGCCACGTTAAAAAATAAATAAATGAAAGAAAAAAAACAACTTAAAAAAGTAGAAATACAACAATGTATGCCTCCCTAAAAACAAGTCAACATGGTTGTGGTTTATAACACAGGCCTACAGATTTAGGTCAGCCTAAAACGTCTCTGAAGGTGGGGTTTGCTCTAAAATACGACATGGGTTACGTCTATCTTCCTTTAAGTCTGGAGCCATAAAGTCTAGAAATCAGAGCTACAGTTTATGTACAGCCATTTTCTGTGGCGTCAAACCTGCTGCAGTCTGCAGTGAATGAGAATAACCATTAACCCAATAGTGGATTATTTGCTGTCACGTTTTAGTGCATGAGCGCTGCGCCTCTGCTCCACTAATATCATTGTTCTCTTGTATTATAATTCACATAAAAGCAGGAATTTTAGTAGAAAATATTTTCCATTCTTTTATTTTATTTTTCAGAATTTTATTTTATTTTTAAATGAATAAAGAAAAAAAAAACCTAAAATGTGTCTTTGTCTGTTTTGGCCAGTGCGCGCACACGGATGCACCAAATTGGATAAAGGGTCAACAAGGCGATGGAAAGTGTCCATTTTTCATTTGCTCGTGTTCTTTACGCAACGTAAATCAAATGTACTGTTAAAAATAGTAGCATGATTCACATTTTAATCAGTGTGACCATTATAAAAATTAGTGGCCTACAAAATGCTGAGAATAAAGAGCTTTGATTTCTTAGTGCGCACTAGTCAATTCCCTGCCTGTAATTTCTGCAAAGCTTAAAGCCGAGAACCTGCCTTTGAATATCCAAAGAGAAAAACATGTTTGTTGCAAAAAAAATAAGATTTAAAGAAATTAATAATTCTTCTGGCAACTTTCTCTGACTAATGATTTCATTGCATCATAACATAAAATGAAAAACAGCACCTTCGAGATTAGTGACTCTCATATGGAGATGATCTGGTTTAATGTGGAACACAGACAGTCTCGGTTAAATCAGATTTCTTTTTTTTTTTTTTTTCTCCAAGAAAAATTACGCACATGGTAATATTTCTGAGCCTACCTTAACAATGAAATCCTGATGTGGTGACATATTCTAAAAGCAGCTGGAGTCAAACTTCTTTTATATCTCAATTCACGGCAATGACATTGATCTGAGGAGCGCCACCCAGTGGGCAAAGACGGGCAGGCCTACACTGCAACACACAACACACACACTCACACACACACTCACACACACAAGAGAATATTCCGACCACGGTAAGATGCTGCAACAAATGACGTCGGAAAGGTCCGTGAACACAAGTTTCAATGCTCCCAGCCGTTGTTTTTCAGCCCCTTAGTCACAGTTAATAACCTTGGTCTCAGACGCTTTATTGCACTACACTCCAAATGCTCCAGACGAATCCGCGTTTTATGGCCAAGTTACTGGAGCAACTGGGAGGATGTGCAGCAATCAAAGCGGAATTCCTGGGAGCCTCACAGGATGCACGGTATAAGGAAGGCACCAGGGCCCTTATTAGCTTATGACAGGCCATTCAAGTTGTTTTCAGTGGGCCTGGCGCTTGGATAGAAAGCCACCTGAACCCTTTTTTTTTTTTTTTTTTTTTTTTACCCATCTTTACCTTCATTTGCAGGTTAA